TTCTTAAACTAACTTATAACAATCGGGAAGAGAGAGCTGGAGCTGATGAAACCCACAGCCATTCTCATTAACATCAGCCGAGGTACCACCCGGCACAGCTGACTGGCAGAAAGCACCACGCTGCAGCCAGTGCACTGAGCTCGTTACCTGCCACACAAGTTGCACTCAGAGACGCTCTTATTCCAAACCAGGTGCAGTAGTTGACCAGGAGGCGCTGGTGATGGCTCTGCAGACTGGTGTTATCGGGGCCGCGGCTTTGGATGTCACCCAGCCGGAACCACTGCCCAGGTTGTCATCCCTGCTTATTTTTTTGGAAAGGACGGGTGAGCCCTGCCGAGGCTGAAGGTATCCCTGCAGCAGGCAGGGACCTGGTTGAGGCAGCCACCCCGCTCCTTGGGATGGGGGGTTGGGTAAAAGTGCCATGAATATGAATGAATGGGATGCAGAGCAGATGTTGGGGCTGATAACAGGCCAAGGGGAAGCCTAGGTGCCAGGAAACAGCAGGAGGCAGGGAGAGCAATAGACCAGCTCTGTAGAATCACCCTGTGAAGCTGCAGCAGTGCTTCACTGGCAGATTGCTTTATTAGAAGGTGCAACTTGCCATGAATGGGTGAAAGCTCCTTGAGCCATCTCTTCTAAGACCTGCTGCATTGCCCTGAGGTGTCCTTCCCCACAGGCTTCCTTCCACAGTGTGAGGCTGAAGTAATGCAGACCTCTTGGGCCCAGAGGCTGCTTGGCTTCTGTAAAAAGACACCTCTACCAGGATGGTGCATCCCGGAGTTAAACTGTGCTGGCTGCGTTTTGGGTGTGGGAGGAGTTTGGTCTTGCTATGCCTGTGTGGGAATGAATAACTACAGCACAGACCATTGTGTAGTGTGAATGTGTCAGGAGGACTTAATCCTTTCTTCTGACATAGTTTGAGTTGCTGCCGAATGGCAAAACTCTGTTTCTGGAGAAAAGAGCACAGTATAAACTCTTAACATGTCCTTTTACAGTCCAAAATTACTTCAACGCAGGTGATTGGGTTCTGTGGTTCTAAGTGGGACTTGTTATATCAAATTAACTTCAAATAAAGTGCAAAAGGTAAAGTAGGAGTCCTCTTTATTCGGATGAACAATAGTAAATAACAACTCTTTTTTCTTTTCTTCCAGAGATCATCCGTTGTTAAAATTAAAGAATGTCATTATAACGCCTCACCTCGGCATTAAAACAGAAAAGGCCAATTACATGATAACAGAGGAAGCAGTTGAAAATATACTAGCAGCTCTAAATGGTCTCCCCATGCCCAGTGAAGTGCTCCCTAGTTGATGTGCAAAAGGATAACACATCTCATTTTATTAGTTTCTTTCCCCCCATCAGCTCTAAAGGTTTTCATTCTTATGTTTTTTCCCTTAAGACAAACCTATTTCAGGCTCATGAATATAGATTTCCTGCCTTAGCTTTTTTTTTTTTTTTTTTTTTTTTGCCTGATCCCGTATAATACTGCCTTATAACACATAATGTAGACAAAGGAAATGTGTGTCCTTGTCCAGTTTCATGCTGGAAAGGTGTACATTATGTTACATGAAAGGTGTACATTATGTTACATGAAAGTCTTTTAGGGTAATGCAATACTTCAAAAGCATAAACCTAAGAAACAGTTATTGTGCAAGCACCTTATTAACCCTGCAGGCATCAGCTCACCCTGCAGGATTACACGGACACCAGTGGTAATATTTAATGGTGGGATAAAGGTCACAGAGTACGCAACACTTCTCTCCACATGGCCACAGACCCATTCCAGAGTGCTCTGTACAATGCTGGTCTGACAGATCCCTTTCTATTATAGAAAACTAATAGCACACAGCAACACAACGTGATTTAGCTCAATAGACTCCATGGAGGTGTATAAGGTACTCTGCAAATTAAATCTATATAGAACATGGTAGTGCACTGGTGCAGTTGACTTCTTCTGTCACATATGTTGCTATACAGATACATCTCCAGTAGAGATGAACCAGCTCCTGAACCATAGCTTTGAAATCAGATGTTCAAGTTGCACAAAAAAACTTTGAAGCCATCTGATTCTCTCCACATCTAACCACATAACACACCTATTTTCTTCACATTTGATAGCTGTGTCCTGGATTTTTGCTTGGAAAAGAGTGACATTCCTTTAACTATTATTTTTTGGCTCCTCTAACAACTTCTTCCTTCATTTTGTTCATTCAAAATTGTTGATTTGATATACAAGGTTAAAAACTCCCTTGTGCTTTTAATGGTTTTTTTGTCCTTCAGGACTAAGATGTCTCAATTCATAGGGAGAATAACTTTAAGAGGGACTTTACAATGGTCCTTTGATCTCCGGTAACAGTAAGCAGTAAGTTAAAAGATCACCCATTACATCTTATCAGCAAAGCAGTTTGGAAGTTTTGGATGTGAAACAGGTAATGTGTAAGCATTTTATAGTTTGTTAGGGTTTTTTTAAGGAAGAAAATTGAAGTAGACTTAACTAAGAGTCCAGTTAATATGCTTTAACTTCATCTTGCTAGTTAATGAATTTTTGCTTTAACTGTCTGAACTTGGAACTCATATAAGCAAATGATACTGAAAAATCATCACCAGGATAACAAGAATAATATATGGTTTTATATAATTACTATGAAATGTTATTATATTTTATCTTTTTATTAGTAATTTTTCAGAGGGTTTGGTGTTAAACTTGACTGCCTTACTGTTCAGCACATTAAAATGTATTTGGTAGAATTCAAGATAACGGGATTTTGTAATCCATTTTTTTGAAAGCGCTACAGTAGTCAGGAAAGACACAGCAGCATCCCATGGCTGATTGTTTCTTTGTGTGGAAGGAGAGGAATTCCTGGTGCCCACAGCAGTGGTGTGTCCCAGCTCCTGAGCTACTCTCACCACAGAAGCTCGTGGTGAAGCACTGGAAAAGGTTGCCCGGAGAGGTTGAGGGACACCCCTCACAGTGTTCAAGGCCATGAGACTTCAAGCAACCTGATCTAGTGAAAGGCATCCCTGTTCACAGCTGGAGGGTTGGAACTAGGTGATCTTTAAGGTCTCTTTCAACCCAAACCATTCTAAGATCTACAGCGCAAGTAACCTTGCCTGGAAAATTTTCATGCATTTGTTAGCTGGGATACCGAGGACTGCCTGTAGCTGGGGTAACAGCTGCAGTGCCTAAGGACCTAAGCCTGGCACAGTTGCTTTACTGTCAAAGAGAGGTTTTGAGGATATTCCGAGAATCATTTAGGTTGGAAAAAAATATTCACGTGTGCAATGAGAGCTGTCACTCGTGTTTGCTGATCAGAGACAATCTGTCCCACGTTAACTCCTGCGCAGTGACTATGCGTAATGAACAACAGAGGGATCAGACCACAGCTGGCCTTCGAAAACAATTCGGGGGTGAAAAAAAAGTGTGCAGGGCATTCATGCAAAATCCCTTTTATTCTGAAATCACAAAAAGCGCAGAAACACGACACGCTTTTTTTAAAAAAACGCGCACAACCATTCGTGAGCTCCCTTTTCCGTCCCTCGGCTTCCCCGAGGGACTGGGGTGCGCCTCCCGCGCCCTGGCACCGCCTCTCCTCCCCGCTCGCCCCGGGGGGGTTGGGGTGCGGGTGTCCGGGCAGTCCGGGCAGTCCGGGCATTCCGGGCCGGGGCGGCGGGTCCCGCTCCGCCCCCGCTCTCCGGGGGTGCGGCTCGGACGCGGCGGCGGCGAGCGGGGCCGGCGGGGTGAGTGAGAGCTGCGGCGGCACTGCGGGACGCCCCGGCAGCGCCTCTGCCCCCGGCTCTGGTGGCCGCGGCCCCGCGGGGGGCTCGGTGGCACCGTCGGTGGCACCGTCGGTAGCGCCGGGCGTGTGGGGCGCGGGGGGCTCCCGCGGCCCTCCGCGACCCCCCGTCCTTCAGGGCTGGGCTGAGCCCTTCCCTTCCCGCTCCGGCTCGTTCGTTATCTTCAGTCTCACCGGCAGGCCGGCCGGGACCGCTGCAAAGGCCTCGAGCCGGGGCTCGACCGGCCCTGGAGCGGGAATACTCTCCGTGAGGTCGGGGGAGAAGCGGGAGGCGCTGGCCGGGCGGTGCGGGAGCGGTGCGGGAGCGCCTTGCCTCGGGCTGATGGGCAGCTGCGGGTCTCTCGAATTCAGCCTGTGATCACAGACTTGGCTCTTTCCGGAGTCGGCAGGGTGAAGAGTTGTCAGGACACTGAAGGTGACCGAAAAAAGGAAGGGTAAACTTATGCTCAGGAAGGAACTCGATAATTCCAAAGTTCGCAGTTGACAAATCATAGCTCTGTTAGCGTTAAATGAGACTTTTTCCTGATATAATCTCATCAGTGCTAATTATTGAATATAGTTGCAGAAGTGGAAATCAGAGGCAGAACTTGGGGGCTAAAAGATACCCTTCCACACTCACATGGCCATATTCTCAAATTATCAAGACTCTGGCCTTTAAATATTGAACACAGGTAACATCTGATAACTCATTTGTCTAAGTGTCAGCATAGTTGGTGTGCCAGAAACAATGTTTTCTTGTATTATTAACAAGATTATATAGAAATTGAACATCCTTCTGAAAACCCCAGTGAGTACCCAAAAAAGTCCTGCATGTGGGAGTGATTGCCTTTAGCCAACTCTTCCATAGTGGGAAAACAGCATGTAATGGAGCCGATTAATTACTGTTTTTTAGGAAAAAAAAAGCTGTGATGGATTGCTTAAGACCATGTCCTTTTGGCTCTCCTTGCTTTTGTAGGGCATGGAGGGTCAGGAACTGCCCTATGTGCTAATCGACTGTATAGGAGGAATGCGTGGAGTATACGAAGACCATGTTGGATTTCTGCAGAAGCATTTTCATCTTGTCACCATGAAAGAATATCTTGAAAATAAGGCATTTCTCAGCAAAAAGATCAGAGCTATTTATATGTGGTATCACAAACCAGCTGTTAACAAAGAGCTGCTCCAGAGCCTGCCAAACTTGAGGATAGTTGCAAGTGCTGGAGTGGGAACAGATCACTTGGACCTGAACCTCCTCTCTAGCTTTGGTGTGAAAGTATCCAACACTCCATTTATTGTTTCCACTGACACTGCAGACCTGGGAATGGCTCTGATGCTGGCATCTTCCAGGAGACTTGTGGAAGGTAATAACTGAAATGGTTTTAGTGTTTTTATAGAAAAAGTGGCTTCAAAACATGCAGAAAGTATGTGCTGATGCAAAGGTAAGCTGAAAAGTAATGGAAAATATGGAAAATACAGGACAAGGAAAAAGTTATCTGTCTTGTTGACAGTGACTTACATACCATTTCCAGTAAGGCATATCAGCAAGGTAGATACGTTCCTTCTTCAGCCTAAATTCAGGCCCAGATTCAGGTCACTTCTCCCTCAGCCTACAGCCACTTATTCACTGTATTTGCTCACTTCAGCTTTGCTTTTCAAGTTCTAATAAAAGAGGATTAAAAGGAGATATTTTCAAGGAGGCTTGAAACCTGTCTTTGCCAAGCTGCTGTGTATGTGAGTTATCACAAACAAGCTGTCCAGAAATCTGTCCACCATGCTCTTTGTTTCTTTTCCATTCAACCCTGGTGTATCTTCAAGGTGGCTGGGACTCATATGGCCTTCCTAAAAGTCTTAATAATCCCACAACTGATCCATCAGTTGCACCATTCAGTATTTAAAATGTCAGTGACATCTATGGCACTGCCATAGATGATCCCTGCTGATGAATAAGAAGCTGAGGTGTATTTCAGTTGTGCAATAATCTGTACTGCAGGCAGAGAGATGGCCAAGGTGTGTGATGCACATCCAAAGGAGGTTGCTGCTTTTGGCCTTACCTTCCTTGCCTGCCAAAGAGAGGCTGGATTTGTTTCTACTTTAAGCAAGAAATCAGTGTCAGCAGTCATGTGTATAGTACAGCATTATTCACTTTTTGTCCAAAACCAAGATGACATTTTGTTGCTGTTTCTGTGCTTCTGCTTGTCCTACAACAAAAAGTGCAAAAAAAAAAAAAAAAAAAAAAAAAAAAAAAAAAAAAAAAAAAAAAAAAAAAAGTAACAAGATGCGGGAACACCCTTTAAATGACCTAATTCCTTCTTTTCCTCCTCCAAGGCCATGAGATGGCAGTCTCCCCTGACACAGAGTATTTCCCTGCTGACTGGCTGGGGACTGAGGTCTCTGGAGCGACCCTGGGGATTGTGGGAATGGGCACCATTGGCTACAAAGTGGCTCAAAGAGCCAAAGGCTTTGAAATGAAGATTTTGTATCACAACAGGAGTCAGAGGTAAAGCTGTTTGCAGCTCCACGGCAATTCTATTTTGACACTGCTTTTAAAAGTTGTTAGTACCTTTCGCTGTGCTTTCACTTTTCACTGAGCTCTTTATTTTAAGTTACAAAGTACATACACTTGTTTCAGGATGGTCATTAATTTCCCAGTTTGTACAGAAAGTCAGCAAGGAA